TTTTTTTTTTTTTTTTTTTTTTCCAACGACAACAAAGATTTCATAAAACTCAATAATGTAATGTCTTACAAACGGGCCAACATATTTGATCTTGTCCACCTTTTTTCTTCTTTTAACTTTCTGCTTAAGATATAAGTTATTTGTTCAGTATTGTTGGTATTATTGTAATGAAGGGGTGCATTTGGACACCCCTGTGTTTGTACTGTTGAATAGTGTTGACTAGTGTTCTAATCGGCCCAGGATTGTTGACTAGTGTCATGAATTAAAATTGAAATTGGGCTTGTGTATTAAATGGGACAGTTTTGCTTCAAGCCTATAAGATGCTTTGATTCAAAGGGTTCGGACCCCATCTGGAACCAGGTCGATATGACAAATTAGACTAAAAAAAAATACTTTCATCTGATTTTGGGCCCCATTCTAAATTGGTGGGTTGATTCCTATGTATCTCGGTTGTTAAATCTTGTAACCATTGCAAGATTAAAGGTTAAGATTTACTGCAACTTGAGCAAGTTCTGACATGAGCTTCGGCCTCGCCTCCAGTGCTTTGCAGGTCGATCCGATTCAAGAGACGAAAGGCGATCGAGACGAAGTGGTTCGACTGACAATTTTGGGGAGTTGATATTTTTGACGCATCACTGTTATTTTTTTTCATATCAATGAATAATTATTTACACTAAAATCATATTTATATTAGTATAAATGTATTAATCGGATAATATATTAACTAATTTACATCCTAGCGCCAACAGGCTCAGGTTTAACATTTTGGCTAAAAAAATGTTGATTAGAAGAGGAGGAAAATAGTTAATCTAACTAGAAATAGCGGCCATAAAAAATCGCCAACATTAATTACATTCCATTTTGAGTAACTTTCTTTTTCTATTTTTTTAAAAAAATCGATCAACATTTAATATTGCCTTAAATCAAGGGTTTTGGTTAAATTTAGGATTGAAAATTTTGGTATTTTTTATTTATAAAAAATTCGGTCAGTATTTAATGCTCTCTTAAATAATGGGTTTTCGATCAAAATAGGATTCAAAATCCGGACTAAAATTCTTTATGTGTGGATTTCATAAAAAATAAAATGCATTCTCTATACAAAATTCTTTATGTGTGCATTTCATAAAAAATAAAATGCATTCTCTATACAACTGTTATTTAAAAGGTAATAAATTTTTTATTGTATATTAGATACAAAATTTTGAAAACTCTTCTAACGATTGGTCAAAGCGTATCTTTGAATAATTGACATATAATTAAAAAAAATATGTTTGGAACATTGGACAAATTATTTAAACAAAAAATAAAGATGATATTTAAACCAAACCATTTGTTGACATCCAAGCTGAGCTGGACGGATCCAAAATTAAATGCTATCACTAAATGAAAGAAATAGCTGAGTGCTCGGATCGTGGAATTACAAGCGAAGGAAACCCCAAAAGTACGACCAATTGAGAGCCAAGCAAGAAGTAGGCGGAACACCCAGGTCGAGTAACCAGAGGTGCAAGCACGATTTGGAAACATCCAATCAGCAAAATCGGGCTCAAGACTTGGATAAAGTAAGTCAAGAGTTAGCATCGAAAATCCGAGCTAAGCGCACTAAGATGGCAGACAATATCAAAATAAAGACAATTTGCAAGCGAATCATGATTCATGAGAGATGGAACACGTCTACCAAAAATCTGTCAGCCTACGTGCCATAGCCTCGTAGGGTCAGTCGCATTAAATTGTGTCATTTCCATTTAATGCTTGATTGTATTGCCCAAGGAACAATAAGAATCTATTGTAGAAGGGTTCAAAGAATTCTCAAAAGTAAATACATAAATCTCTCACTAATTACTGCATTTAGTACAAGCACCCGAGCTCAATCACAAAATACCCGACCTCAATAGTCCTCATTTTGCAACGTATTCAACACCTTAAATCTAATCAATACAATTTAATCACTTTGTTACAATGAACCTCGAGTAGACGAGCTTGAGGGCCTTATGTTTGGTAGAACCTCGAGCAGACAAACTCGAGGACAATAAAGTTTAAGAGTGACAGACCTCGAGCGGATAAACTCGAGAGTCGTAATTTCTTCGCAGAAGAACCCAAGTAGGTAGGTCAGCTATAAGTCTTTTATCATTAAATGATCACAAAATAAAATTTTAATTATATTTCTTATATGTATGTTTTAAATTAACTTGGGGTTCTTGTAAAAATATCAACTTGTAAAAATATCAAGCCTAAGTGTACTTTTAGTAATCAATACATATGATATTTTTACATATTTAATGCAGAATTTTGACTTTTTATCATAAAAGGATCAACATAAGACAAAACAAAATTTCAATTATATTTCTTATTTGTAAGTTTTAAATTAACTAGGGGCTTTTGTAGAAATATCAAGCCTTAGGTATCTTTAGTACCTTTAGTAATCAATACATATGATACTTTTACATATTTAATGCAGAATTTTGAATTTTTATCATAAAAGGATCAACATAAGACAAAACAAAATTTCAATTATATTTCTCATGATGTTTTAAATTAACTAGGGGCTCTTGTAAAATTATCAAATGAGGCCTCTTCTTTTTATTTCCCGAGCCTCTAGTGAGTTAGAGACAAGGAGCTGACAAAAATAAATTCAATCATGTAGAGTAATTAAGTACACTTCTCGATTGTTTATTAGCAACGAAAAAACAAAGACACAATTCAGGCCCAACAAGCCACCAACTCCAGAAGCAACCTTACAAGCAAATTACCGCAGTTAAAATCAAACCAGTCAATTTTTACACCTAATGCACAAGTGCAGAGTGCATAAACTTTTTTTTTTTTTTTAATTACTCAAGTAACATTCATCTATCCAATCTTCATACATAATCATACAAAAAAGAAAGTGAAAAAAGTAAAGGAGGTCCTTTTGTTTAAAAAAAATAAAAATAAAAAAATAAAAAAATAAAAAATAAATAAAAAAATGAAGGAGTCATTTTCCATTTAGATACTCTGTTATATCAGAAGGCCAAACAAACCATATGATATACTTCAAGAATGTGGAGGCAAATTGAAGCAACACCAAACCCTTTTTCCACATTGAAAAATACACATATATTTCTAAGTTGCAACTCCCCTTCTTCAAGGGCAAGGCAACAAGGAAGAAAAAAAAAAGAGAGAGAGAGAGGACACCACATGTCTTCTTCTCAGTCTCCAGTCTCTTTCTCTCAAACAAACTTGTGTTTTGTCTGGCAAAATAACACTCACCTATGTATTCCAAGAAAAGGAAAAACAAAAACTTTATACCTAATAACCTCTTTACTAAGCAAGGTTAGGTGAGTGACAGCAACGTTAAACACCCCCTGTGGCTACCCTTTTTACAGCATCTCTTTCGATTCCTCAAACATTTGGGATTCACTTTCCAGGTTGCATTCTGATTTTTTCCTCCTTTTCTTCTCTCTCTACTTTTGGGCGGGAAAGGAAATCGGGCGTGGCTGAAAATGCAGCTGCACATATCCCCTAGCTTGAGGCACGTTACGGTTTTGCCTGCAAAAGGTGTTCGAGAGTTTATAAAAGTGAAAATTGGCAACCGGAGATTGTCTTACCGAATGGTTTTCTACTCGCTTTTGTTCTTTACTTTCCTTCTCCGTTTTGTGTTTGTGTTGACGGCTGTGGATACCATCGATGGAGAAATCAAATGTTCAACTATAGGTATTTTTTGGGTTTTTCCTCAAATTTCTTTTTTTCCCAGCAATATGAATGTGGCATTCGTGCAGACATGATGATGAAAAACTAGATTTTTCTTTATTGTTATAAAATGAAGGGTAATATGTCTGTGTATGGAATAATTTGATGAATGCAGTGCAGGTGCCTATCTAAGGTTAACTTATTCTTACAACCTAAAACAAAACAAAAAAAAAAAGTTATCCAAAAGCTTGTCTTTGGAGACTTTGCAATATCTAAGACTTAGTCAAATTAACCTGCATATTCCACTATTTGACTATTAATTGTATAACGATTTGTCAATTTTACAATCTTCTAGGTTTAAGTTGTGAAGAAGTAAATCACAAAAACTATTGTTGAAGTTCATCTACTGATAAGATTTAACAATCATTCCAACTATACTGATGAAGAGTATCACAAATGTTTGGGAAATAGAAGTTAAAAAGAAATATGATACATTCTCTTGAGTTTTGTATAAATATTCCCAGCAGGTGCAATGGTATATTTCATTAATTATACGAAAAACGCAATATGTCATATCAGAAACGATATACATACAACCAAAAAAAATCATGCACGTTATAGCTAATTTTGATTGAAATTCAGAAGCTAAAACTTCCTGTCATAATTCTTATTCACCCCTGCAATTGATCAGTGACAGAATCGTGTTCTTTAACAAATGCAGGTTGTCTGAGCAAAAAATTAGGACCAAGAATCCTGGGAAGACTTGAGCCTACCGTAATCTACTCACCTCTATCAATTTCATAATATGCTTTACATAAATGTAGAACCTGGTTGAGATGAATTTGGCAGTACGGAGTTGCACACTTGAAATTTGACCTGAAATCTACTGACAGTGATGTGCCAGCAATAACTGATAGTTATGTACCGGCAATAATGCCGTGAAGCTAAAATTCAAACATTGAAATTTTTTTGCTGTCAGGTACCTGAAGTGATATATCAAGTTTTTGAAGAACCTGTCGATCAAAACGAAGTTCAACCAGTAGAGCAAGAAATTCCTCAAACAATGGAAGATTTTATCGCAGAAATGAAAGATGAACGACCTGATGCCAAGACATTTGCAGTCAAGCTCAAAGCTATGGTATTTACAGTTCAAACATGTCTTCAAACAAACATTCTCGTGAAAATATTCCATCATTCTGCATCAAAACCTGAAAAATGACACCTCACGCTTAAATATAATCACTTGGCTTCATTCTATTTGACACGGTACAAAACAAAATTTTGTTTCAGTCCGTCAGAAAGAAACCGACGACAATGATTTGATTTCCTAACACCACCCCCAATTTTACCTCTAAAATCTTGATTTTGTAGATATAAACAATAATACCTACACCTTTAACATACTTACAAGAGGTGAAAAAAATAGTCCTTTTGCATGTGCAATTATAATAATAAATTATTTTTTTAATCTATATGTAAAAGGACAAAAAAAACTGACATTCGTGGTGGCTTCCAGGTCACGCTCCTCGAACAAAGGACGAGAACAGCCAAGATCCAAGAATATCTGTATCGACATGTGGCCTCTAGCAGCATACCTAAGCAGCTACACTGCCTCGCCCTAAAACTGGCCAATGAGCACTCATCCAATGCCAAAGCCCGTCTTCAGCTGCCCTCTCCCGAACTAGTCCCGGCTCTCGTTGACAATTCATACTTTCATTTTGTGCTCGCCTCAGATAACATACTGGCAGCCTCTGTTGTTGCATCTTCTCTCGTCCAAAACTCGTTGCACCCTGAAAAAGTCGTCTTGCACATAATTACGGATAGGAAAACGTATTACCCCATGCAGGCGTGGTTCTCTCTCCACTCTCTGGGGCCTGCGATTATCGAGGTCAAGGCTCTGCACCATTTTGATTGGTTTACAAGAGGGAAGGTCCCGGTTTTGGAGGCCATGGAGAAGGATCAGAAAGTGAGGTCCCGGTTCAGGGGAGGATCGTCGGCAATTGTTGCGAATAATACAGAGAAACCGTATGTCATTGCTGCCAAGCTGCAGGCGTTGAGTCCCAAGTACAACTCGCTCATGAACCACATCCGAATAAATCTGCCAGAGGTTAGTCTCAACACAATTAATTAAAAATAAAATAAAATATAAAACTAGTCTTTGAGTCTTGATTTTGTGTGCCTTTATTTTGGCAGTTGTTTCCGAGTCTTAACAAAGTAGTATTCCTGGACGATGATATTGTTGTTCAAACGGATCTCACGCCTCTGTGGGACATTCACATGAATGGGAAAGTCAATGGGGCTGTGGAGACATGCAGGGGAGGGGATAAATATGTGATGTCCAAGAGGTTCAAGAGCTATTTGAATTTTTCTCACCCGCTGATAGCGAATAATTTCGATCCAAATGAATGTGCATGGGCCTATGGCATGAACGTCTTCGATTTAGAAGCTTGGAGGAGGACTAATATAAGCCGGACATACCATTTCTGGCTTGAACAGGTAACCTTTAGATTGCATTACAATTTTTCAGATTTCTGTGAATAATCAAGAAATATTACTATCAGCCAATGAGATTGAACATCTATAGATTCTCTAATGATGCCTTTTTCCCCAAAATGCAGAATTTGAAGTCGGAGCTAAGTTTATGGCAGCTAGGAACCTTACCTCCTGGGCTTATAGCTTTCCATGGTCACGTACATGTCATTAGTCCCTTCTGGCACATGCTTGGGCTAGGGTACCAAGATAACACAACTATTGCAGATGCTGAAAATGCTGGTGTCATCCATTTCAATGGCCGAGCAAAGCCTTGGCTCGACATAGCATTCCCACAGCTTCGGCCTTTGTGGACCAAATATGTTGACTACTCTGATAGATTCATAAAGAGCTGCCACATAAGAGCATCTTAGGGAATATTATCAACGATACACATAACATTTCAATTTTTTACCTGTAAAGGAGGGAGAGCGAGACACACATGTCAAGTTCTGCACAAAAGTTTAGGGATATATGTGCAGAGAACGATGATAGTCACAGGCTCTAAATTTTGGAACTCGTGTTCTGAGTTCTTAAATATACCACAATTAATTTGTTTGTTTCATATTTCGAAAAAAAAAAAAAAAAAANGAAGAAATAATTAATGTATTTTGCATCCTTGATTTAAAAGCCCTGGTTGACATTCAAATTTTGCCATTCCACTAATCCAGAACGAATATGAGTTAACTCAAACTCCATATTCTCACTGTCACGACTAATGACCACTGCCATGAGGAAAGGTCTTTAGGAGAACATGATCTCAACTCGCAAGTATACAAATTCACAAACAAGTACAATAGCTAAATGTTATGCCTTCAAGCATTACATGATATATTGAGTCTCCTAAAAATATCAAACCATACTAACATATCTGAATTGTAATTGACCTTTTTCTATCTTCAACAATCAAAATCCTCTGTCTCACCAAGAACTGGCCCATGTCTCTTGTGACAAATTCGATTAGAGCATTTTGCAAAGGCAGCCTTAAGGGCAGGTTTTACAATTACTTTTGCCTCTTTCTTTTGCTTTTTTGTCCCCTTCGGGTTTTCCTTTCTGTCCTCATTTCTTAACTTTCGTGCAACTGACTCATCAATCATGTTTTCACCCTGCTGGGGCAGTGTTAGGAACTGCACGTTTGAATGGCTCTTGAAATGGATAATAAAAGCGCTTTACCTGCCATGCATCCAGAAGAACTTAGGTGAATTAATGAAAATTGACTCGGCAAAAAATGTTAACACATGACCACTTCAAATTTTACAAGGCATTTTTTATGTGTACTTCCTATGATGCATAAAAAACAAAATATGAAAGAAATTTATATAATTCACATGGATGATTTGGGGAAAGCGTGAGTGCAGGAATTTGTAGAATCGGCCTGAATAAAAGTAAAATCCACAAATGCTAATATAATTTTGAATAAAGAAAGCGCTGAAGACTACTTTTCAAATCTTTATCATTACAACACAGCTGCTAAGCATAAAATAGAAGAAAAATTTCTGAGTACGCCCTTCATCGGAACTCGAGTGTAAGAATTAAAGAATCCATTTCTCAATTGCTCATATTTTAACTCCCAAGGTAAATATCAAAAACATATATTATATTTGATGTAACTTTAGCCAATTGACATTCTTTCATGCACGTATTGTGTAGCAGGGAAAGCAAAGCTAAAAAGAGCTCGGATAATGTATGAAATACACACGTTAGAGAGGAAATGTACCTCCAACCACAAAACAGTGGAGTCATGGAGTAGAGCACTTTTTTTATTTTCAAGTAAAGGCTTGATAGACAAAGATCAATCTGTAAAAGCCAATAACTTCACCAAATCAATATGGCACAAAACTTGAAGTTCCTCTGCAGTTCCCTTTATCCAAAAATATAAGAATGTTGATGCAGATAGAGACTGGAGAAGAGTAAATATAAAACCCAATCTCATGATGTTCGTAAGTCTTCTAGTCCTACCTTGTTAGTCACATATAAGAGGTTTCTTTTTGCTAAATGTACAGCGCAAAGCTATACCAAAAACAACGAAATTAGGAGAAATTATGTTACTCATGAACACATTAACTTCTTTTTTCCTTTTTTTTTTCCAGTAGTCACTAACAATGCCAGCAAACGCATATCTCACATTCCAAACATGTTTCAAAAGGTTCCCTTTCAGCAATGGCAAACAGAAACAATAAATATTTTCACTTTGACTATCAAGTTTATAAAGCTCCATAGCATTTCAAAATAAGAGCGATAGAAACAGGTCTGTTACTCAGTCTACGTTCCATGAAATCGTGTTGAATTGCAGCACTGTACTTTACTGCCATGTCCAGCTAATCTTCACTTTCCACATTAACTTGCGAGGCTACAAACCCAATTACCTATAATTGTAGATAAAAGAAATCTATGTGTATCAAATATATGTGAAAAAATGTATGCTCACTCTGCAGCAAGTCTGTTGTCCTTCTCCTTTGCCAAAGAATCTAATGCTTCCTATTTTTGATAGTTAGTTCCTCACTCTAAATTTATAGCAGCTATACACCATTATTCAGAATTTATTGTTTGATGGACAACATACCAATTTATCTAGTTCTTCATTGGCAAAATTCCCTTGCAAATCCTCCACGGTCCGAGGGCCACAAGTGTGGAGTCAATCGGATCCACTCTCACCTCCAAAGTATCGAAAGCGAAGTTGGTAGTCATCAATCGTACTATTTCCTTGAGCTTGTTAATCACCTCCAATCTTGGGCTCACATAGATTGGCACTCTAACAATAGGCGGCAAGATCAGAAGAGCCGCCTCCATTTCCGAATCCGCGTCCTCTACGCTTGGGCCCCAATGCATTTCTTTACGTGTTCCCGCTCTTCGTGGGGATAAAATGTCACGTCACTCTTCACCACGTCGCCTTACGAAAATCTTTAATTCAAAGCCGTTTGGCTACCACCACTCATAGGAATTATGAAATGAAGTGTCAACCACTAAGAGACCAAATGATGGATAGAACCTATTCGTGGCCGTATACGTGTTATGCTCGACCCAACGAAAGAGAGTCAGAGACAATTGACGAGTTTTTTGGGAATGACACAATGAATGATGAAGAGTTGGTTCTACTTTAACTTTTTAACCTTTTTTTCCGAAAAAATTGTAGCTCAAAAACTTGTGTAGAATCGATACGGCATAATTCTTATAATAAGCCTATTGTGTAATAGTCTCTTTTTTGCTTCGGTACTCCTAAGATTTCTAACCACGCCTTTTTTTCATTCATCAAATTCTACAAACGGTGCCTAGCCTCTCGTACATTCAAAACTAAACACTCGCTTCATCAAATGACAACTGATCCATCTTGTCTCCAAGCCGACAAATGACAACCGAACCATTTTCAACAAGTTGGAACGTCGTATAGAATTCAAATGTCAAACTAGTGTAAGCGTGAAGATCTATTTTAGCATATTTTTCCAAGTGAAGAAACCGAAGATATATTAAGAAATATCTTCGATTTCTCCACTTAGAAAAATATGCTAAGATGGATTTTCACGCTTACACTAGCTTGACATTAGAATTCTATACGACGTTCCAACTTGTTGAAATGGTTCAGTTGTCATTTGTCGGCTTGGAGACAATAATAGGAGGCTCAAGGCTGATTTGATGAAGCGAGTGTTTGATTTTGAATATACGGGTGCCGAGGCACCGTTGGAAAGATTTGATGAAAAGAAGGCGTGGTTGGTGGGATCTCCGAGGTACCAAAGCAAAAAAAGAGACATGTACAATAGGCTCATTAAAGATTATGCCGTATTGATTCTCCACAGGTTTTTGAGATATAAAGTTTTCGGAAGTTTTCGAAAAAAAAAAAGAGGCTAAAAAGTTAAGACTGTTAATCATTCATTGTGTCATTCACAAAAAAGCCTAACAATTGTCTCTCTTTCAGTCGAGCATAGCACGTATCCGGAGGGCAAATAGGTTCAACCAATCATTTGGTCTATTAGTGGCGGCCTTGGCATTTCATTATTTATGTGAGACGATGTGGTAGCCAAGCAGCTTGGAATTAAAGATTTTCGCCAAGGCGATGAAAAGAGACAGGACATTGTATTCCCATGAAGAGCGAGAAAACGTAAATAAATGCGTTGGGGTCCAAAGCGTAGAGACAGAGGACGAGGATTCGGAAACGGAAGAAGCTCATCCGACATTGCCGCCTATTGTGGAGTGTCAACCTATGTGAGCCTAAGAATGGAGATGATGAACAAGCTCGAGGAATAGCACTGACTACGGGGGTCGGACTTTGGGTGTCGGGAGGAGCTCGAGGATATGGCCGAAAATCAGCGGTGAGAGCTCAGAGTGGCCGGAAATATAGCTTGATTCGCCGGAGAACTGAGGAACCGAGGTCAAGGCCCGTCGAGTTTCAGCTGCTGAGCTTGCTTCGCTGGAAATCGCGAAGTGCGTCACCGGTCGGATGTTGGGCTGATTAGAGTTAGGTCGATGGAAGCTCAAAATCACCGGATGGGACTCGGGGTGGTTACCAGAGCTCGGAGATTCGAGGACACCGACTGAGAGGAGGTACGAATGCAGGGGACGCGATTCGTGAATAGGGGTCGCCGGTCGGAAATCGAGAGCCACGGCTCAAGGTTTGCTGCTCTGAACTTGGGGTCGTCGGACGAAGTTGTACGCGGAGGGAAAACGGTCGCCAGAAGTGAGTTCGGTTGGAGCTCGGGTGTCGCAGCTCGCAAGGGGGAACGCTCCATGTGGAAGTAGCGAGGTGGTGAGCGGTCGGGCGCGGCTGCTGGGTTTGGTCGCCGGCGATCGGGGTTGAGAGCGGCGACAAATCGCTGGTGAGGGAGAGGGTCGGAGATGAAGGAGAGAGAGAGTAGCGGAAACCCTAGGTGCACCGTTCTCTTTTATACCCTTGCGATTCGCCCGGCGAAAATTGCCGCGCGGGGACGGCCGGAAATGAAACGCTAGGTGCACCGTTCTCTTTTATATTAATCTTGAAACAGCTAAAAAGAATTTTCCTTTGGCCCGGTTTTAAGCCGTTAACCATACAAGGAATCGATCTCTTGAGATCGGCAGCTGAGAATTGAATGAGCTCCTTGTTGACAAAGTCATTGTACTTTACATGCTTTTCTTTTTGATCAAGAAATGTGCCAGGCTACAATGTACAAGAAATGAAAATGAGGTGCATCCTAATCATAAAACAACCAGCCAGCATACGATTTTGAAACAAAAACTGATGTTGTAATTTATTTTTATTTTAGTTATTTATTTTTCTAATTAGGCTAGAGCTCAGCTGTGAATGAAACTGTTGAAGTGGAAAAGTGGGCCAAAAAGATTGAAATTGCAATGAAACTGTTGAAGTGGAAAAGTGTGGGCCAAAAAGAGGAGTTCAAATTGGAACCTCGTATTTTTGGAGCCATTTTTTCCTGGCTTGTATCTTGTCCTTACTGAATGCTAGCTCAATTGCATCATTGTCCTTCTCATCCAACCATAGAAAATCTTTTTTGTGCTTTTCAAGAGCTTGAAAATATTCTTTCCCCTCCGTAGAAGTGCTAGTTCCGAGCCCCTGTACATCAAAAGTCATAATCATTAAGTAAACCAAGAAGCGGTTAACTACAAAAATTTCTCCGACTTCTAGTCTAATTACAATAAAGCTCAATAATATTTCATAAGACGAGTGCCCCATCGTCATTTGTTTCTTTTCAACAAGTTGCATCTTGGAGAAGGTTACTAACTATGTAACACAAGCCTTCCTGAAACCGGGTCGAGTTTGGAACAGCCGGGTCGGTTTTGATGCTGTTCGGGTCGGACCGGGTCAGGCGGGTCGGTTCTGAGCGAGTTGGAGCAGGTCAACTCGGCTGAGTCGCGGATCTGGCGAGTTGGGTGCAGGGTCGCGCGTAACCGGGTCGATGGGGTCGGTTCTGGCGCGCGTGGAGGGAGCTGGACGCGATTTTCCGGCGAGGGTGAGCTCTGGAGGCGCGCCGGCGGCTGGGCTCGCGATTTTTCCGGCGACTCGCGGCGGGTCGAGTGAGCAGCGGCTGGTTCGTCGCGTGGGGGAGCTAAAATACGGTGGTTCGTCGGCGTGGGCAGCAACGAACGGCAGCGGGCTCGCGATTTTCCAGCGTGAGCGAGCTGGGGCTGAGACGGGCCGTACAGTCGCGGGTCTGGACTAAAACCGCGCGAGCTCGAGCTGGTGCGGGATTGGTGCGAACGGGTTAGACCACGGCGGCTATGGCTAGGGACGGCGACGGTGGAGTGGAGGTGGGTCGCCGGCGACGGTGGCGTGGAGGTGGTGATTGAAGATGGGATAATGCTATATATATATATAAGCAGTGTGTAGGCACTTAGGGTTTCTTGCACTATTGGGCCTCAAAATCGGGCCTTACAATCGACTAAGTAATCGGACTAGTCAAACACACATTGACTTAAGGAAATTAAATGCTCCGGTGAGCGAAATAAATCGAACTTAGTCCAACTAAATTAGTCGATCGATTCTAATAATTGGGCTCAGATTGAAAAATCGGCATAAGATTGATTTTTAATTAAAATAGAACGTAGGGCTAATAATTGGGCTCAAATTGAAAAATCGGCATAGGCTCGATTTTTAATTAAAATCGAACGTAGGCTCGTTTTACTAAAATGTATTCGACTTTGACCGAATTAATTAAATGTTTGGGACGATCAATAAGCTGATAGCTTGAATTAATATGGGCCGGCTAATTAAGAAAATCGGTTATGGCTCGATAAATAAAATGTTAATCGAGTTTACTAATAAATGTTCGGCTATGGACAAAATAATTGGACCGGTTGGCTGGAATAAAATAGCCCGATTAAATGGGCTCAGAAATTGGGCTCGTTCAAAAATTAAATAAATTCTCGACTTTTCTAATACTCGATTAAGATAATAAATCGAGACTTTGACTTAGTATTTTATTTCGTTTTCGAAATAAAAATTTGAATGATTTCTCCATGGCTTAGACTTGGGACTTAATAAGTTATGCAATAAATACTAAATAAATCTCGACATAATAATAAACTTACAATTTTAGAAAAATAAAATCGAGCTAATATATAGAAATTGGTCCGGGACTTACATATATTGTTGTCCAAATAATGCTTTTGAATTGTGAATGTGCATCCCGATCACATATATACTCCCCCATTCAGTAGAGATAGTTTTAACATAGGAGAATATTACCATCCCATTACGGGATGGTTTCGTTGTGTTTTCTAGCCATAGATATACATTTAATCTAGTGATGGATAGTTAATCCAACGGTTAAAAACACAACGGAACCATTCCGTAACGTGGTAGCATTCCCCTTTAACATATATTAAGGGGGATATTTATAATTAAAGAAGATTTGAACTTTTCTTTTAAAACTAGTATTCGAAATGTGCATTTGCACATATATAAATAAAGAATTGTGAGTTATTTGTATGCATATAATAATTAATGATTTTTCTTGCACTTTTTTGCAAGCCAAATTTACAATTAAAGGAGCTGGAATATTTATTTTTTTTTAAATTGCGGTTATCAGATTGGATGTAATGTATATTTTGGTGTGTATTTTTTTTTGTAAATTATTTAGAAATTTTAAATACGTTTTTTATTTTTCAAAAGAAGTTAATTTAAATATAACCACAACAATAACATCTAATCAGGTTAAATAGGTTAAATAGTCAACGTTGCAATCTAATATGAGATAATAGAGCTTAATAAAGAGATCACAAAAGACAAATTAAAATCCTCAATCTCATCCTCAATGTAGTATTACTGCAAATTCCATATTAGAAATTCAGACTTGAGTTCTTTGCCAACGTTGCAACATCATAATCTTTGTCCTGCCAAGCCTTCTTTGTCATTGTCTCATGATCCATCCTGTAAAGTTGTGGGCCTTATGAAAAAATCAATAGAAATGTCATTTCCAGTATACCAAATATGAAAAGAAATAAGGTTTTTTCCCCCTCCAAATAATAAGCTTTCAAGCAACATTAAAAAAATTCAAATACATTGAGTTGTCCGCGCTTTAGTTTCCATAATTTGCACACCAAAAGGTAATAAAAATAAGGTCAAAAGTCTGGGTTTTTTAAGCATAAAACAGGCACCTAATGGAAAAAAAAAATAAAAAAAAATAGCACAAAGATATTGTATGTAGAAACCACAACCATCTAGTCCAAGAGGATGAAGCCCATATCATCGTCGGATTCTTCTTTCTCCAAACTTTCTCTTCTTTCTTCGTCTCGGCCACGGCCACACCTGGTGCACTGCCGGTAGATACAGATACCAGCTTCTCACGTCCAGCGATAATTAGCTCTGTTATGTCTTTTTCCTTCACTTGTGACAAAAGAAGCTACACCCTATCATCATTGACGGAAGGGGCGTCGTAGGCCAACACGCCGAGCAAATAAGTTGCCATGACATTCATATCGCAGTGCCCATCGGTTGCCGATAACTGAGCTGAAAGAAATGAGAGTGCCAAAAAGGAATAAGAGTTTCAACCAAATGGAATACGTACTTATAAAAATAATTATAATAGTTGATACAAAATTTATAGACTAAATACAAGGAATAAAGGCAGTAACTAATACGCGTATTATAAACACTCCCTCAAGTTTTCCATTCTACAAATTGCTCACCAGTAAAGTCAAATTAAGCATATTTGTTGAGAGAAAATAAGCTTCATAGTGTCTATATCATAGTAAAGGTTTGATTATAATTCTGAAAGATGAGTGGGCCTCTTTGTAAACCCTACTTTTAGTAAAGATAAGCACTTTTAAAATAAGTTAATGAGTGTGTGTGTGTGTGTGTGCGCGCGCATTTGGATCCATTACTCACCAGTGTTAAATTAAATTTAATATATACAGGCGTACTCATCCTTTCTTACCACACATTTATTTAATATTAGGAAACAAAGTAAATATGACATGCAATTAATAAAATATTATATCGAAGATAGCAACTTAGTTAATCTATTAATAATCTATAAACAGGGAGAAATATGTCTATAAATACCTCCAGAACATTAGCTTGTCAACAGAACAAGTTTTCCGTTATGTTTCGAGTAGTTTCAAATGCAACGTCGTTCTATACAGGATCAATCTGCGAAAGAAAATTTCACACCAAGGAAAAAAACTTTTTTTTGAATAAACAGTAAGATAGAGTAAATGTAAATGTAGAAAAAATAGAAAATGCGTATAAGTAAAACTAATTAAGTATTTTGAGCTGATCATAACCCACATATGTTAAACTCAGTATTTAAAATGTTACCTTAGCCGAAGTTGAGAAATTATAAATCACCAAATCAGATCAATGGAGAACTTTCACTAAAAATAAATAAAGGAAAGAAAATAGATATTTATTGCAGGCCACATAATGGTTCATATAGTGAATAAAAAGAGCCAAGTACTATCTCCTGAGTAGCATAAAACTCAATGTTGAAACAGTTTCTTCACCACTTCCATTTTATCAAAAATCTCTTATCTTTCCAAAACATAATCCTAATATAAGAAATTCACACAAAATAAGAACACTTCTTCATATATATTAATTACTGAATATATTACGAAACTTGAATATATAAAACTGCAAATAAGATTATAGATTTGCTTGGTTACTATCCTTTATGCAGTTGATATCCAGACTTTTGTTAATAAATCAGAAAATTAAAATTGTTTGGTTCACATTGAGAAGGCGTATGATGTGACAAAGCTCGATTTCCCAATGTAAAGGTTGGATACAATATCAACATTAGAGTAAGTTAAATTGAATGTCTAATCATTATGCATGTGTACTTGCTAATTGAATGGTTAACAAATATTATATGCTAAAAAATTCAAGACAGAGAGAAAAATGAATATCTTTTACCTTCAGAAATCAAAGTATCCCGAGAAGATGATTCTCTTGGAGTCCACTGTCCAACTGTGTAGAAAGTTGTTTTCATATCATTAATCTCCTTAATGGCAACTAATGAATGCGTGGAGTATAAAAAATTGGACATAAAAACTACATAAACCATGTCGTTTTTTCTTTCAGAAAGTTCCAACACATCCAGAGCCATCATGAATTCAATTCCCTTAAAATAGTTCTGGAGAACCTAAATTTAAACCCAAAAATCTAACCATTTGCCTCATATTTCCCTAGGAATTCTATTAACCTACTGATAATGAATTTCTTGATCCGAATCTAGATCTCACAGTAAGCAGCGTTTCTTGGGTGCACCTCCATTACATAACAAGGTAAAATGAGTGAAGTGGTTTTCTTTTAAAAAACACACATGTAAAAGATATTACATTATGTACACATATACACATCTTAACAGGTTGCTCCTCCAAGTCAGGATATTTTATTTTTCATTGTTATCGTGATATTGACATAAACCTAATTCACGTGTCATCTGCTAAAAGCAAAAAACCATGTCTCTCTACTTTAAACAAAATAAATTGATTAGAATCTTACCCTCATCAGCAACCTGGGACCCCCATATATGCAATCGTTTCTTTAACAATGTAGGCAGCAATCTAAGGAGGAAGGAAAGCTCATTTTCAAAGACGAACAAATAATAACAAACAAAATGAAAGCTCGAATGAAGCTAATAGAAATTTAAGATTACCACCATTAACTAAGCTAGAGGATATAGCTGGGAAGGAGTGATGTCAGCTCTTCACTCTGGTCGTTGCCAGAAGTCCCGATTTCACATTCACCTCTGACCTATCAAATAGTCCCAATCTGTAAATTGCTTTGTACTATCACCTACTCACAGACTGCTTGTACTTTACGGCTGATCGATTATCCTTACTGATGACCAAACCTAAACAAATCAAAGACACCTAAATCCTATCAAAAATAAATTTCAAACAATCTCTCAAGCTCATCAAATTAGTCGTATATCTAAATAATAATCAAAGCGTAGAACATAAATTTATACTCTATATCAGAACTGACGAGAGGCGAAAGAGCCTTGATGTGCTTACCAGAGAGGAACTGCACTGGTCCTCGCCAACTTCATGCTTGTGGTGTCATTTGATAAAGCCTTCTTCGGTCCTCCGGCAGCCGGCGTACCTATCGTCCTTCAGCGGGCTGAACATTTTCAAATCGGACAATCGAAATTTCGACAGCAAAAGCTGAGGAGGAAGGTGGGGGTGGGGAATTAAACCGGGCAAGAGGCAGTATGTGCGTTCTGTGAGAGGTGGAATTAAAATTGAGATATTTTCAGAAGAGAAGAGAGATGGGGGAACTCAACCAGAGAGGAACGAACGGGGCGCGCATTGGAAGAGGCGTTATCAGATATGAGAACGCCTTGCACCCCTGCCTCGCCATTAGAGATGTCAGGTTCAGATCTGACGGCGAGGAGACTGGAGCCTCCACCTCCAGTGAGGTGAGGACGTGTCTAATCTGGATGACAAAGATGTTGTATGGCAGCTCCTTGATGGATATGACATAGGTCGACATTGGGTGGTGGCGTCGCCGTCGATGACGCCGTCATCGACGTGGGAGAAGCCAACCTTTCCAGCCTTGATGACGGTGATGTTGACGAAGCCAGGAGTTCCGGCGGCCTCACCGGTGGCCTGGAAGATGGAGAAGGTGGTGGTGGAGCCTCTGGTGATCTGGTGGAGCTTCTTGGAGCCGATGGAGCCGATGTAGTCAACGCAGATGCGAAAGGAGAGGATGTTTTCTCTCTATCTGCAATTAAATGTGATGTGATGATTGCGTGTGCGGGTGGAGTGGCGTGTGCAGATTCACTATGTGAAAAGAGGCCCGTTTTCAGCCTTTCAAACCGGCGTCGTTTTGATACAAAATTATTGTACAAAAACCAATTTCAATTAAATCTCTCAAACGGTGCCGTTTTGAACAAAATGGAGCCTTTAGAGGAGTGCCACGTGGCGGCTAACAAATGGGTTATATGGTTTTCTTATAAGATAGAGGAAGATAAGGACGCAGATCTAAGAAATGGAGAGAGAGATAGAGAGAGAGGGAAAAGAGAAGAAGGGAGAGTTTGGGTTATGATGAATAAAATGGTGTTATCATCTACTACCGTGTCTTATACTCAATTAGTACAGAGCCCGTGCTATTTATCCAGGCTTATAATTATATACATGTATAAAGAAAAATGTACGACATATATATAGTACGTGACCCGTGCGAAACACGGATATATTTATTTGGAGAATATTATATTATAAGATGCAATATTCAATAAAAGTTTATAATACGCAAGAAAATGTTCAATAAAAGTTTTATAATATTCAAGTAGAGTCTTAAAGTCTCTTATACATTAAGACTACTGACAAAATAATATTTTAATCAATGAGTTTCTTTTCCTTGTAGGCAAATTGTGAATGTGATTTGAGGAGTATAACAAATAGATATATAGCTTACTTGCTTTTTTCATTATAGTTTTTTTTCTTTTTTTTTATAATGAATTTAAAGATATTCTAAAATATAGCAAAAATTAATTTTTTTTATTACAATTAGAAATTTATTAAATATAGACTCTCAATCTATATTGTCAATCAATGTTTAAGTCTAAAAAATTAGGAATTTTTACCTCTTTTTATCAACGTTTAAGTCTAAAAAACAATAGAGTTGTTATAAGTTTTTTTCTACTTTAAAACATTAAATATGAGCATGTTAGGGCCAGCTTGTAAAATAATTAATATATTATCTCACTGAAACATTTATACTAATAAAAATTTAATTATAGCATATAAATTTATCCTTTGATATAAGATAAAGTAACAGTTTACTTATTGTTGTTCACCATATAATATTTAATTATTATTATTTTATTATATAATAAAAAAGAAATATTGTTAAATAGTGTATTAGAATTGTTATAAAATTATATGATTTTTTTTTTACAATATAGATTTAATATTTTTTTATGATTTGATAATATAAACAAATCTATACTTAACTTTGACAAATAAAACAAATAAATACTTTAGTAAGTATTTAATGTATATACTAAATAAGAATATATTTGGTATAATCAAATACCAAATATAATCAAATAAGTCAAAGTGTACATTTTTATTTGGTATTTAATTTTTTTATTATTAAATTTTTTTTATTATACTTACCTTTTTAAAATAAATCAATAAAATAAATAAAATATTATAATACCAAAATAGTAATAGTATTTAATGCAGTTGACTTTTCTGGATAGTAAATGTAGTAAATAGAATCTCCTTTTATATAAGTATAGATATGATATTATATTATGTTGCTCAAAATAGTAATGCATTTATTGCATTGACTTTTCAACTTACTATCTTTCGTAAATGGTACACCTTATTATATAAACTAGTACGTAGCCCGTGCGATGCACGAGACATAAATATTAAATAAGTCATTTCCAAAGCTCTGTTAAGTACCTCGTGTGATTCACGGGGAATATTAAATAAGTGGACAATAGGGCTTGTCAGTTAACTATTTTTTACCTCTTTCATCAACGTCATCTTTTTTGTCGAGACATTAAACCTGAGTCTGGTAGTGGTAGCGCTAGACCATAAATTAATTAATATATTATCTCGCTCACATGTTTATAATAATATAACTTTGATTTCATTATATATATTTATTCATTGATATAAGAAAAATAATAATTTTACGTAATCTTGTTCCTCGTATAATACTCATATTATTTTATTATAAAATTTATTGTCATAGCACGCTGACCCGTTTATATTATTATAAATAATATTTTAACATATATATTTATTTTTTAATACAAAATAATAATAATTTTACATATTTTGGTTCATCATAATACTCAATTATTAATCTATCAAAAAATCTATTATCATATAATGTCATTATTATTTATAACACTTGTAGAAGTAATATATTTGTTATATAATGATAAATATGTAATGTATATTAATATTATTTAGTTATGTAATTAATTTAAAAAGATATAAGCAAATTTAATGTTTGGAAGGAATGTGATTATATGTAAGTTGAGATAAAATGAAATGTATCAAAAAAATCTGCTTATGATATTTTCCTTTAAATGTTTGAATGAATTTGAAATTCAAATAACAAATCAACCTCCAGTTATTTAAATAATTTTGAAAAAGTTACCAATTGTAGTAAAATGTACGTGACAATATATTATAAATATACATGACGTCAGTAATGTTATGAATCTTTAAGTTCCTAAAATATATATTGTTTAGATATGAAACTAATTAACTTATATGTTAAAATAATATATATAAATATATGTATTGTACGAAATATACACGTGACAAGTTATTATATTTGTTTATATATTGTTTGTATATCTGTTTGTAGTTTTATTATATTTGTTTATTATATTTTTATATAAACTAGTATTCGACATGTGCATTTGCACAGATATAAATAAATTATTGTGAGTCTGTACATATAATGATTAATTATTTTTCTTTCACTTTTTTGCAGACCAAATTTACAATTAAAAGAGTTAGATTTTTTTTTTAAAATTGCGTTTATCTGATTGGATGTAATGTATATTTTGGTACGTCTTTTATTTGTGAATTATTTATTATTTATTTAGGAATTTAAAATATATTTTTTATTTTCAAAAAAAAAAAAATAAATGTAACAACAATAATAACATCTAATCACATTATACGGTCAACATATTATATGGTCAACTGTCATTAATCAAAAGTTTAAAATGATTTTTGTAATTTTAAAGTGATGAATATTAATTATTTAATGATTAAATGAAAGATTAAATACATCAAAATGAAACGGTTTTTGGAGGAAAAATTGTTAAATTGCCACATAGGTAAAATTAAATAGGTTTTATTAAATTCTATTAACTAGTAATTATATATATATATATATAATTACTAGTTATTATTATATTTGTCTATATTTTGTTTATATTGTACGACAAATTATTATATTTGTTTATATATTGTTTAGATATGAAACTAATTAACCTATATGATAAGATAATATATATAAATATATGTATTGTATGAAATCTTTAACGTGTTTATTAAATTTTTTCCCTAAAAAATTCAAAATACAATTAGGCATGTTTTGTTTGAAGTTTGAAATTCAAATATGCATCTATATAACAAATTCCATGATTTGTGCTAGCATTAAATGCTACTTGATTTTTCATTAAAAAAAATTAAAAAAACATACCAAAAATGGAATGCAATTAATATTCCCTATTTTTTTTCTTACTATTTTTGAAAAATGTCAATTCTTATTATATATATATAGATATAGATTTTCGTTCTTTTGTAAATAAAACCATAATCTCATTTATTGGCAGATAAAAAAGATTCGTACCGTATGTGGAGTAATTTTCTCATTTTAATTCCATACCGGGCCGTTTTCAATTCCTTACTGGACTGTTTTTAATTGCAGGCCCTTCATAAATTTTGGGCCATGTCAAATAAAGAAAAGGGACAAGTCATTGATAAATTGTATTTGTATTGGGGCTAATTTTTTTAAAAAAATAAAAAATTAATGGCCTGCAAAATAAGTGTGAATGCCCATATTCATCTTACCTTTTCATTATTATATCATCATATAGTAATAATTATGTATCAAACACATAATAAATTAATTTTAATTATAACATGTTTATATTTTTATTATGACCCATATTATTATATCACAAACCATTTTATTTTATACTATATTGTATAATTGATTAAATTATTATATTGTTATACTATAGCAAGACTCATGTACCACATAACTAATAAATTATTTAATTTGTACATCAATCAACTTTAATTATTGTTTCACTTGAAGGCCGACACTCCAAGATGTTGCTAAGAAACGTCGATCACTCCATGGGGTTGTGCAACGGTACTGTTGATCAAAATTATATCTATTATTTATATTTTCTTTGATTCGTCTACAAATTCCATTGATATGTTTTTGTTGTCCGAATTTTGAGATCACCCGGTACTCGATTGATTATTACTAAGCTCATCAATCATGTTCTCGAATGCAAAATACCGGTGTCAGAGCTGGTGATAAAGTACTTATTCTTAGGTTCACAATAATACCATAAGATTTGAGGGTACCTTTGAAGTTTCAGCTCAGACAGTTCCCACTCATGGTTTCTTATATGCTATGACAATCAATAAGAGTCAAGGGCAGTCTTTTTTTCGTACATCGGCTTACTACTGAAGAGCCTTGTATACTCTTTTTTTCCGGCCGGAAAGGAAAACCAAAAAGTTAAAAACGAATATCTTTAGTGAATAAGTTGACATCCATGGCATTAGCGGGACAGGGGACTAGTATGACCGGACGAGCTGACAAGAAAGAGTAGAATCTGCAGAGTTGGAATGAGATGCAGAGATCAGGTAAGGAGGCGGGATCACGTGAAAGTCAAGAAAAAGAACCAGGAAAATCTTTTGATTTTGAAAAAGAGAGAGAGAGAGAGAGGTTTTAGTCATGGACATTTGAATGTGGCGCTTTTCAGAGTTACGAGCCGGAGGGGTTTGAAGATAATGATTTGTGGTGATGGATATTCTGACGATAGAAAAACCACGAACATTGTATATAAAATAATGTTTAATAATATTTAGATTTCCTTCTTAAAATATTTTTTTTCTAATTATTACGTTACATTTTTACTATTTTTTATATTTTTTATTAATTTTTTTCTTTATCATATAGTTTTCAGTGCAAATGCACGAATTACAACTAGTATTATATGACCGGGGGAATTCCCGTTACTATAGAAGCTCACAACTAAAAGAAAACAAAAGAAGTTTTTATACAAAGTTATTAAAAGCACAACACTGTAGGCAGCTTTCACACACCTTGGCAGACATTAACAGAAATAAATGTAAAACATGAAATAAAACCTCTTCTTGGAAAGAACTTTTCATGGTCAACCCACGCGGCTTTTTCTTCCCCATATGTGATTTTTTCATTAACTTGACACCCTCTGGTGGATCTGACTTATATAAAACCCACCTTGTTAAGTAAATTTGCCTTCTTCCCAGTTCAAGATTTTATTTTAATTGTCCTGTTCCCTGTTCAACGTTGTTGGCTTTTGTTGCCTTTTGGGCGTCTCTTTCTCAAGTGCGATTTATATGTACATTTCGAGCTTTGGAGGTGGAACTTTTGAGTTGGTCATCAAGACTTCTAATCAAAAGTGAAGAATTTGGGGCTTTTCTTGGAGCTGTACAGAACAAAAATATTGAGTTTGGTTGGTCTGAATTGTTGTAAAGGTTTGACCTTTGGCCTTTGGGCATTATTTCAGGAGTTGGGCAATTGAAAATAAAGGGGCATAGGTGTTTTCTCTTTGTTTCACTGTGGTCTAATGATATGAGCTGTATCTTGTCCAATTTGCAAGATGAGGGTTCAAGAATGGAGTGTATCTTTTTGTTGCTTTCTGGGTTTTGTGCTGCTTTTCACTGTGCTAGCAACCCGCGTGGAAAGCGAATGGGAGGGGCGCGAATCTTTACTGGCTTATCTATTAGATTCAGGGGTGATCAATCAAGAGATGGTATATTGCTCTTACCTTTTGCTTTAAGATTGATTTGTTTGGATTCGTTCGAGTTATTGTTAATTATGCTCTGATTATTTGGATGAAATATATTTATAAAAGATGATTGTTAATCTGGAGGTACGTTCTTTTGCTGTTAGAAAGGCACCATCTTTTTTTGTCCCCTTATAATTTGATTTGGGTTTTCTGGTGAGAGTTATGATGTAGCTTAAGTCAGTTTTTTTTTTCCTTCACTTCCCTTTTTTTTATTGTCCAATGTTGTCCTAATATACATCATCTGCTGATTTCTAGCTGATCTCTACTACCAAGTTTTCTGTATGATTAACTGCAAAATGCTATTACGCGAGCAATTCATTCTTAATTTGTAACAAATTAATATCGAGGGGGTTAGTAAAGGTTGTTATGGTTGGTCTGAATTATCTTCCATCTTCTTCGCATTACATCAAACTTCTTGAAGATGATCATGGTCATTATGTCGAGATTCCTATACTTACTGACACCCCTTTTGTTGTTTTCCTTCAATCAAACAAATGTACCACATGCAGTACACCAACAAAAGGCGCTAGATGGTAAAGTTTCCTGATGTGATCCGGTCTTTCCAAACTTCTCACCATTATACTTGTCATTGTTATCATGGGAGGATGAGTGAGATATCGCATTTCTAAATAGAACTTGCCACTTCTTTATTAAATAGGATTAAGTGTTAGAATTGTACAGAGATTTTGTGAAAACATTTAATGAATAACGAGATATGGGGGAAGGATAAATATTTTAGGAACGAATCACAAGAAACTCAGAAAGAAGAGGAAAGCGGGATGTTGCTCCCACCATATTTCTTAATAGGATATATGTGGACTGCTACAAATTGTCAGTGCTTATGAACCCTAAAAAGGGTGATTTCATTTATCGATGTAAAAAAACTTTGAACCGATGTGTGTCTAACCATTTCACCACCGGGGTATCTTGAAAGTGCATACTTTTTTTCTTTTTTTTTTTTACTTATGATCTATTTTGATTTTCATGAAAAATTATATAGAACTAAGAGTCTTTACTATTTAATTTCTATCTGATGCCATCGAAGGTGAACTTGGATTAGCAGATAGTTTATACCAACTCCAACTGCTACTTAAATTAATTTAGACATTTTCCCTTGTAACAGTGTTAGACCATAACTTGATGTAGTCATAAATTGTTTTATCATTCCTTTCTTAACATTGATTCATGTATGTTAGAGGTAGTATATATTTATATATATGCCCCTTTTTGTGCTTTAAATTGTGATTTTTCAGTAATTTAGTTGATGAAAAGAGTCACATTCACTCGCCATTTGCGTCTAAACGTGTCTTACGGTTTTCCCCAACTGATAAAGAAAAGCTTTTATGACGAGAAACTCTTATTGCAGGCTGAGTTGTTACGGGATAAATGCATGCTTCATTTGTTACAAATTCAAAAAACTCTAAAAAATCTCGAGGAGGAGGAGAACTTGAGCGCTAGTAACAACTTTCCAAAATTTTGGCATTTCGGAGCACAAGTACACAACCCAACCAATGTCTTGGTCCCACAGGTTAATCAAATCCTCATAGACTGTGTAAGGGAAAAAAATCAAGAGAAAAGTTCGGATACTTGGTACACCCCGTATTTCAGCTTCCTATTTAGCACAAGCTCGTCCTCAATGAGACGTGTATTACCCGAGACACCTGCACAAGCACCTGCTCCATCCCCAACAGTTTATTCTCCTTCACCGGAATCTTCTATTATTCATGTATCTCCTCCAGAAATTCCTTCTCGCCCACCTTTGCCTCCATTTTTCCCTCCAAATTCAATTGACTCAGGATTGCCGCCTATTTCGAATGGGACACACACTTCTAGAAGTGCTTCTGATGTGAACTCGAGCAGTCAGGGGTCGAACAAGAGAACGGTGGTTATTGCTGTTGTTGTGACTGCTTGTGTGACCTTTCTTATAGCTGGGTTGCTGTTTCTTTTTTGTTGTGGATGCTGTGGGGCCATCAAGAGACGGCGTAGAAATGACGAGAGGCCTCTTCTCAGCTTAAGTTTGAGTGACTACTCTATTTGTGAGTTTTTTTTATCCTTATTCCTTTTCAGCCTCGTTACTTACAACAATTACTTTTCAACTCTTTAGGAAAAATGTGATTGTATTTTGAGAGTGATGCATTATGAGTTGACAAATATGATGATGATAGTTAATTTTGTGAATGAAGTACTGGTTAAAATGTCATTGACGACTAGAAATATGAGAGTTACTAGTTGATGTGATGTTATTTTTTACATAAAAAAATATTCTTGAATGTGATCGATGCTTACGAAAGTGAAAATGACCGAGTAGCAATATAGAATATATAGTATTTAGTAAAAAAAATTTGTACGATTCGTCGTATTGAGCAAAGAATTGTTAGGGAGAAAAAAGAGTTGGGAAATAATTAGTCAAAGGAAGCATAGCCTTTTTATTCAAGTGTCGTCCTGCATATTCTCAATTCTTTCTTTCGTTCATTTCATTAGCCTCCTCTTCACACAAGCAATACAGTCCAGAAGCTTCCTTGCATGAAGCAAAGCTTGGTAACAACCACCAGTCATTCAACAACATGATGAACCACTCCAAAACCAGCGGGAAATTCTTCACGGAGCCGCATTCCTTGAGCCATTCGAAAATCGAGGTCGCGGTCAGGCCCACTACTGGACCAGCTGCCGCCAACTCAGCAGAAAATACTTTACCGGCATCTCCCAAAATACCGGGCCCACCTGGACTGCCTCCACTGAAGCCACCCCCCGGAAGGACAGAGCCATCTAAACCACCTGCCCCCACACCCCCACCCCCACCTTCCGGCGGCCCACCACCTCTGCCGCCACATGGGCCACCACCGCCGCCACCGCCAGGTGGGCCCCGGCCACCACCACCACCGCCAGGTGGGCCCCGGCCGCCGCCGCCTCCTGCCGGCTTGAGACCCCCACGGCCTTCCAACTCCGGTCAACGTGCATCTGCCTCGAGTGATGATGATGAGGCCGGCACTAGCAATAAAGCAAAACTGAAGCCTTTTTTCTGGGATAAAGTACTGGCGAATCCCGATCATTCTATGGTTTGGCATCAGATCAAATCGGGATCCTTTCAGTGAGTCTTTTTTTTTTTATTTGTTTTTTTTTCTGGCCCTAGTTTGTGGTGTTTTTTAATGTTTCATATATTTATTTTTTATTTAACACGTTTGTGAACAGGTTTAATGAAGAAATGATTGAGAGTTTGTTTGGTTATGCACCTGCTTCAGCTGTCAAGAACAAGAATGATGCAAAGAAAGAGACTTCGTCTCAGGATGTTTCGCCCCAATATGTTCAAATAATTGATGCGAAAAAGTCTCAGAATCTAGCTATTCTTCTCAAGGCACTTAACGTGACAACGGAAGAAGTTTGTGATGCTTTAGAAGAAGGTAACTAATATCAAACATGTTTGTTGTTCTTGAATTTCAAAAGTGAAGCTGTGAGTCAAGTGGATGTATGTTGTCTGGTGGAGCTTCATTCATGTGGGAACATGTTATTATGACATAGGGATTATTTAAAAGAAGTAAACTGTTAAACATTCAAGTCAAGTGCCTTAAAGCGGAAATCTCATAATATAGAGAAAAATCGGAATCCATTTGTTCTAATGTTGCACATTTAGCTTAGCATTTAACTTGACCATAATAGTGGAGCTCGTTTTTGTACTTTTCAGTGGGCCATCTGAAATCTAGGGCTGTTTCTAAGAGATGGATATTGCATATAACATGCCTGAAAGCCCTGGAATTAGTTTCTTCATTGATCTGCTCTAAGCATTTAATTGGTTATAAAAATTACATGATTGAAGCTGCTGATGGTCTTCTCTGTTAGTGTTCCTGTTTCACCACCTAATAAAGGACACGTATAGGAAATTATCATTTCCAATTCTAATTACGAACATAGAATTTATTTTCTCTTTCACATTGTTTATACTTCTTTCTTCACCAAGATTTGAAGATTAAAATAATAATCATGGACTTATGAGGCTGCCTTTATTAGGATCTCCATCTGCTATGTGTCACGATACTGTAAAAACTCTAGTTAGTCGGATATTCCTTTATAAAATCACTGTTTGTTCACCTTGAAAACACAGGAAACAAAAGCTTCTAAAATCCTGAAAGTTATACCCAATTTTTTTTTTTTTTCCAATAAAGTTGTTAAGGGGCAAGTTCTCTGCACATTTTACGCATCAAAATGTGAATTAAAGTGATTTAAATGCAAGAACACGTTGGTCAGATTGCTCGAACAGCAAGCAATAATTTTTATCTTAAACTACTGTAAGATTATTGTTGAGATGCTATTTCTTGAAATATAAAATCCTGCTTCTCTTTTGATGAAAGACTTTTACCACATCTGGAACAACACCTGACCTTCTTTGACTGAATCAGGTAATGAGCTTCCTCCAGAGCTCATTCATAATCTGTTAAGAATGGCTCCGACAGCCGAAGAAGAACTGAAGTTGAGAGTCTACACCGGCGAGCTTTCTCAACTGGGACCCGCAGAACGCTTTCTAAAGGTCTTGGTCAACATCCCTTTTGCATTCAAGAGGCTCGAATCACTGCTTTACATGTGCACTCTTCAGGAAGAGATGACAACATTAACTGAGTCCTTCTCTGTCTTGGAGGTGAGCATCAATTATGCCCCTTCCATCATAATCTCAACTTCTCTGCTGATTTTCACAATATTATAGAAAGAAAAAACACCCAATCAAAATTACTAGCTTTTTGCAGTATTAAAAAATGCTCCTCTGTTATCGGAGCTTCATAATTTTTCATATGCTTCGCCATATGGTTTCTCTTATAATATTACTAAATAATAATCATTGTTGCAAACCGAAAGAAATAAAAGAAAAGTTACTATCTTTAATACATATGATGCAGTCCATTTAATGCAATATAGATATATTACTGGATTTTATCATCCCTGTACAGGCTGCCTGTACAGAACTACGAAAAAGCCGATTATTCCTCAAACTTTTAGAGGCCGTCCTCAAAACCGGCAACCGAATGAACGATGGGACCTTCCGTGGAGGTGCACAAGCCTTCAAACTCGACACCCTTCTAAAATTATCCGATGTCAAAGGCACGGACGGCAAAACCACCTTGTTGCACTTTGTCGTTCAGGAAATAATCCGTTCAGAGGGAATACGGGCCGCCCGCGAAGCTAGAAAAAGCCCGAGCTTCGAGTCCGAAAAAAATCCACTCGAAGATATTTCTGATCAAGACTCGGACGAGCACTTGAGGAGCCTCGGCCTGAAAGTTGTGTCGGGCCTCAGTAACGAGCTCGAAAATGTCAGGAGAGCTGCAGCCATAGATGCCGACAGCTTAACTGGGGCAGTCTCGAAGCTGGGCCACGGGCTCGTGAAAGCCCGCAATTTCTTGAACTCGGAAATGAAGAATGTTCCGGAAGGAAACGGGTTCCTTCGGGTGCTGAGGAGCTTCGTGCAGAATGCAGAGGTGGACGTGAGGTGGGCCCAGGAGGAGGAGAAGCGGATAATGGCGCTGGTGAAGAATGCGGGGGATTATTTCCATGGGAATTCGGGGAAGGACGAGGGTCTGAGGTTGTTTGTTATTGTACGCGATTTTCTCGTGATTTTGGATAAGGTTTGCCGGGAAGTGAAAAATGCACCGGCAAGAGTTAGGATGGCCAGAAAGGAGGATATGGCGGCAGCACAGCCAGATGGCCGGCATAAGGCGGTTTCTCAGGATGCCCGGGAGCGGCTGTTTCCAGCAATCACCGATAGGCGGGTGGATAGTTCGAGCTCGGATGATGAGTCATAGCTGGGTGCTTCTTTTTTCTTTTTTCTTTTCCTATCTGTCTCCATTTAGATAGAATGGGGGTGGAATATACTTGGTTGCAGCTGTGTTTTCATGTCCACAAATATTGCCCTTGAGGTTTTTGGTCTAGTTCTAAAAGAAAGGTTCAAGTATTCTTTAGTAATAGATATGTCCCTTAATATATGTTAAAATTGTCCCTTCTGAGTGGGGATTATATGTGATCGGGATGCTTACATTCATAATTCAAAAGGATAATTGAGATTTTATGTGATTAGATTAGACTTCAAGGGTAGGTTTTGCAAATAAATATAATCTTATGTTGAATGGATTCTGTCTCGTCTTGGAGGTTTTAGAGGAAGGCCAAGAGAGTGAGATGTACAATTACTGCACCTAAAGTTTGTACTTCATTTTCAAATAGTTTTACGGTTAAATTTGGTTATATTTTCTGGATTTTGTTGAACGTCTTATTCTTCTTGACCTTGCACCTGATTATAAATTCTTCCTACTGTCTGTAAAACCTTTGCTAGTTGATAATGTTCTTTATTATTCCGCACAACTACTCATTTTTGGTTGGTTGGTCCTAACACTTTCACAAAATTGTTCCATTTTATGCCTTGATGATTGTATCTCAAACGACTAAGATATGGAGTATAGTTGAAACTACTAGTGAATCTCGAGTTATTAAAGACAGGCATTTAAGTAGTGATTAACAGTCACTTTCAATGAAAAAACAAGTCCCATAGAAAAGATATGAGGCTAATAGAATGAATAATAGTTTAAATATTTTTTTTTTTGTCTTAAATAATAGTTTAAATATTAATGGCTGATAGTAGTTAAAACTTAAAAGTAAGTATGAGAACAAAAACATAATGGCTTCATAACAGATGGAGGATTCAACCAAACAGAGCAGAATAAGAGTATGTGGATCAAATATTCAATTTACCACAAATCACAGGGAAAACAGAATCAGTTCCAACAGAAACAGACTGCCATTCATTTACTTACAAAACAAAGATCTAACAAAATCAGTTCCTACACCAAACACCTAAACATCCTAAGAAAAACATTGAAATCAAAAGGAACATGAAATAAGAACTTCAGCTGCTACCATTCATGTGACTCTATCGAACTTCAAGACTGATCTAATCTTCATCGCCTGAGGGCTTCGAGGAACCAGCCTTCTTAGGGAGCAAAAGATTGTGAATGTTGGGCATAACTCCACCATTGGCAATTGTGACATCACCAAGAAGCTTGCTGAGCTCCTCATCATTCCTCACAGCCAATTGGATGTGCCGAGGCACAATTCTTGTCTTCTTGTTATCCCTTGCTGCATTTCCAGCCAGCTCAAGAACCTGCAATTAAACAAGAAATAATGATTCAAATTGTACAAAGAAGAAAACTCTAGAAAGAAGGGACACGGAGATAATTCGCCCCAAATCCAAACGCAATATGTGATCTGATTTTAAGAGGGAATCAAATAGCTTCAAAAATTGAATGAGAATCCAAATGAATCAATTATAACAATAGAATTACGGGTAAAATCCAAAACCCATAACACCACCAATAAGACAAAAACAAGTTTATGCAAGCAAAAAAAAATGCCCAAAAGGACGAACCGGAAACACATCTCGAAAACCCTAGCCCATACAACCGTGAAATTCGAAATTCAGAACTCAATTCGAGGGTGATTTTTGCATAATACAAGCAAAAAAAAGTACCTCAGCAGCCAGGTATTCCAGGACGGCAGCGAGGTACACCGGAGCTCCGGCGCCAACACGCTCGGCGTACTTCCCGGCCTTCAGAAAACGGGCGATACGACCAACGGGAAACTGGAGCCCCGCTTTGCTGCTCCTCGATTGAGCTTTCTTCGCTGCCCCTGACCCGAGCGTCTTGCCTCGACCCGCCATTGCAATCTTGTGGACGAAAAGTGGTGGTAAATGATTATGATTCGGACAGGCTTGCGCAGAGGATTGACGAATTCGGAAATTGAAAATACTGTGAGCCGATTAGGATATATATATAGTAGTTTGGGGATTTCTGTGAACGGACCAATGGCGGGGTAGGACGTGGATCGTGGATTCTGACCGTTGATAAGGGAAACGATGGACGGACAGATCTTACAGCTACGGTGATTGCTGGTTATCACCGCCTACTTCCCCTTTTTTATTGTGGATGTGGGCAAATATTTTCTGTTCGAGATTTTGTAGGATGAGATGTGAAATGTGATTCATCGGATAATTTATTCAAACAAAAAGTTATATGTATATGTAAAATTCATATAAATGTATATTAAAAAATAATATATATTAAAAAATAATATATATATATATATAATATATATTTTATGCACTTCTTTATTGTTAGATATAAGTACATATGTACACATCGTAGTATATAAACACAATTTAAGCACTAATTGCTAATATATAATGTTTGATGTACATATAAAGCCACTTACGCCTAGAAACGACCCATCGAGCCCAAATAAATAGGCGTCAAAATCTTCACTAGTTAGGCCCAAAATACATGGAGAAAACAGTCCAACAAATATTGTTGATGATCCATGTCGATCGACCTCGAAATTGTCGATCCATCTTTATATCTTCCTCTAGAAAAAGGAAGATAACTTCAGAGGAGAACGGGAAACTGATAAAGTACATAATAAAACTTAATCTAATAAAACAATCGTTCATTAAGTCCCATCATCAAAAGACGAGTATTGCATGAGAATATGTGGTGCTTCAGTACGCCATTAGCTGGCAGCCTGGCACTTAGCATTTATTACACTTCTATTTTTTTTTTATATATATATAAATCCGATCCCTCAAGCCCCATCGAACAAGGAGGCACTACACAACCACAAATAGACATTCTTCGTAATATAAATTCCCAAATAAATTTTTTATTTTCCTTGTCGACCACCTAAAAGATTAGCAAAATACTTCGTGCTTTTAAGTTTTCCGTCTTTACTCTTTTTCATTTCCTTTATTATCTCAATATTCGTTTCGATCGTTATTCTTTCAAGAAAACACGCGACTAATCCATCCCACAAATTGTAATTAATATTAATTGACGAACCCAACCATATAAAAAATGGCGCTTGAAGGAGGGCGATCATCAAGAGTTACCTCTAAACCTCTCCCTATAAATAGCCATACCTTTTATTTTTAGGTCTAAACGCTACCTCCAACTTTTTTTCATGACGTTTCTCGCCCATATACTCAGTCTCAAGGAAAGGGCGACACACCGACCCTCCTCTTATTCATTTCCATACTGTTATGTTGCCCACACCAAGTTTCCCAAAACGCCTCTAAATATCACTAATCACTTTATCTCATCACACCAAATTCAGATCCACGATCCCTTCTAGATTCTATTAGCCTACCTTCGACAAGAATACAAATCAATTAGCTCACCCTCGATAAGAACGTTGAGAGGTGGTAGTCGTTGGTCTAATGTAACGACAACTTTCTAAACAGTCGGGGGCCTAAGGATGGATCTGCCGAGAATATCCGATACCATTTCTTCCCAGGTCATATCTTTAGGTTTTGCAATTGTCTAAACCAACGATCAACCTGTAATTGTTGGTAGTCACTCCTTGATTTTTATCATGAACGTTTGAAATCTAGATCGTCAAGCTGGATTGTTACTAATAAACCGGGGGCTAGGCCAAGTCACGTCACGTGGAGTAATTGCGTGGAGTAATCTCGACCCAGGATTGTTACTAAATATTCCTTTTTTTAATAGATTTTTTTTAGCCTGAATATATTTTGACGAGAAGAGGTAGTTCACTTGGCAGCATTCTTCACTTGTGACTAACATGTCTCGAGTTCGAGTGGGGTTAAGTGGAGAATCATTATTGATTCTGTCTTTCCTTTTTCTTTTTCTTTTTTTTTTTTTAATGAAAAAAATGCCTGAATTCATTTCCTCTATCCGAATTGGAATGGTACTACGGCCGACTCTTTTGGGCCTTTTCAACTGATACTTTTATTTGGGCCTCTAAAGTCAGCTCATGATGGGCCCGAAAACGAAAAAACTTTCTTCTAAACTTGCTTAGAGAGAGAACTTAGGTTGGGCCGATCATTCAATATTTATCTAACCAAAACAATAATAAGGCAAATCTTTTTCTTCACAAAAACTACTATTCATTTAATCTTACTACTGCTCTACAATGACATAATATAGAAAAAAAAAGTAACAGTTATTATATATTTTTAACACTATTCACCAACTCATATATTTCTAACTACTTATCACAACAATAATACATTATTTTGTATCATATTAATTTTAAATAATATATTTTTATCTTGAATCAATTCAAAATGTCAAACTTATCTCCAGTGACGGATCTAAGAATTTTATTCAGGGGGTCCGATTTTAAATGTTAAATAACGAACTTATAATTTAAGTCGTAACACTCATTTTATATAAAAAGTATTTACTATAAATATAAATATTGAAATATGTATTATCAAGTTTTTAAAAACTTAGAATCTACATCACCCTCAAACTTTCAATATATATATATATATATATATGAAATTTCATGTATATTTATAATTTAAATTCAACAGCTATAACTTATGAAAAAAATAAGTTTTTCAGTTGAAAAAATTGATATTAATTGTACTATTGCTGCATATTGCATAACACTTTTGTTGAAGAAAGTTTAACAAATGAACATTTTGTAAGAAATATAATAAAGTTAAAAATATGTGATTAAACAAAAAAAGTAAAAAACCAACATAAAAATATAACAATCCAACCAAATACTTGATTTTATAAATCACTAAATCTATTTACAATTAAGAGACAGAATGAGTAAAACATTATAAACATTTTCATAAACTTATCTAAAAATATCAAATATAAAGGTTATGGGTACATTTTTCAATAAATAAATAATACTATTAATTTCAATTAAAATAGCATAGAAACTAATTTTTTATTAATAATATATTGTAAATGTTTTATGCATTTTTATATATATTATATAATGTTTTCTTTATATATATATATATATATATATATATTGATTTTAAGAAAAAATTCAGGGGGGTCCGTGGCCCTCCTGGGCCCCATGTGGCTCCATGCCTGTATTGGCCACATCAACATTTACATGGCATGTTTTCAGAATTCTTGCATCGATTTGCAACAAATAAAAGATTATAGAATAATTTGTAAAAGTGAAAAAATCGTTATTACATAATGTTATGGAGTTAAATGGAAGTGGTTTTCAGAATCCTCATGGATGTTGATAAGTGTTTATTTTGTATTTTTTTTTTAATGTTATGGAGTTAAATGGAAAGTTGGCATTAGGAGTACAGAGAAAAAAAAAAATAACTTAAATCTGAATAGAAAAATCAAACGAAGTTTGAGGATTTAATTGGAAAAACCACAAAAAATATCTAACCTCTTCTATTATTAGGAGATGTAATTGTTTTTTATGCAACAATTTGCAGTTCACGAGCAGTAATTAATTTCCTGTAAATAACATTTTGTTTAGTCAGACCTAACTTCGAAGAGGAGTGGTAGGCGGTAAATGGAGAGATCATAATTACATTTGAACCTTATTATTATTACAATTGAACACCAAATCCCATGCAGCACCGCAATCAATGTTGTAATGAAGAAAGGGTGAAAAATGATGAAAAAGAGGCCCTCACAAATAAACTATTGGTCCCAACTGTTCTTGTAATAGTCCTTTCAAAATAGGGATTATCATTGTTTAACATTTCCACACATTGTTTAATTTTTCTTGAAAACTAAATCAAGAAGGGTGAGATCTGAACATCGGTTGGCCCACATATGAAATCACATTTATTGATACGTTCAAATTTGTTTTTAAGTGTTCTCAGGATAAATGAAAAGGAAAGACGAAAAAAGATGCTCATATTATTGTGTAACCTCTTAATTTGTCCATTTAAAATTAGTGGGACAAGATGTAAGAGTTTTTCGAAAACCTTCGTCTTGCTTGAATAATAAAATGAGATTTTGACGAAAAGTATTTTAGAAAATAGTGAGATAACTCAAAAAATAAACTGAAGATTGTGATATAATTTGCAGGGTTCTGCAAATTGGTGCACTGATTAGCAACAAAATGAAAGTTATGATATAATTTACAAAAAATACAAAGATCGTGATTAAATTACAATTTTAAAAAAATGTATGATATTAATGACAATTTTGCCATTTCAATGTCATATTATATGTGTAAAAACTGTTACGTATTAGATTTGTTGTGAAAAATCACACGGCTACAACAGTCTATTTTCGTTCTACTATATTGGGAATTCGATTTGTTCTTTGAATTTCTGAGGCCATTTTTCCCAGACCTTCTCACTATACCAACAAGTATAGTGTTTAGTTTTGGATGTGACACGAGACTTGCTCTGGGACTATTTTCCAGCGTTACACATCATAGACCGTAGAGTAATCTCTGTTTTTCACGAGAAAAATAACTATTCTAAACACACAAAATCAATTCTTGAGGTGACCATTAAAGACTACTACTGTCAGCTATTTTTCCAATTGCACCCTATTATCCGTCTTCGCTTTTCTCTCAACTATTTTCTTCACCGCCTGCGCGCCTTTTCTTGGCACTTTTCTCTCAACTATTATCTTCACTACCTTCTCCTCAAAAAAGATTCTCACTTTCTCTCTCAATCTAACTCAAATACCATCTGCCTTCCTCTTGTTATCCTTTTTCTTGTTTGTTTTTTGGCAGGCTCCTTTAGTTTTTCCTTATTAGCCTCATATTTCATATTTTCGCACATGCAATGTCTTTTTCTGTTAATGTTCTTTTAGCCCCAAAAAAAATGGCCATAAAAATTTCTGCATATCATTTGCTCAAAATCCTTTTCACACAGTAGACGGAGACATTTCCTCACTCATTTGCTCGAACTGTAGGGTCCGAACCGCAGAGGAGCAACCATTAATGGGGGAGAAGAAGAAGGAAAACAATCCGACGGTGTGGTTCTCGCTGAGGAAATCCCTCCACTGCAAATCGGAGCCGTCCGATGTCCACACCCCCAAGACCCGGAAGCAATTGGGCTCCATCCTGACCCGGAAATCGGGCCGGTCCGGCTGCTCGCGGTCCATTTCCAACCTCAAAGACGTGATTCACGGCAGCAAGCGGCACCTCGACCGGCCGCCGAGCTGCAGCCCGAGGTCCATCGGGAGCAGCGAGTTCGTGAACCCCATTGCCCACGAGGTCATTCTCAGCAACTCGAGGTGCGAGCTCAAGATAACCGGCTACGGCGGCTTTCACGAGGGTTTCGGCGGCGGCGGCGGCGACGGTGGGGGAGGGTCGACGTTCGTCGGGACCTTGCGGCCGGGGACGCCTGGGCCCGGCGGGCACCCGACGATGCATTATTTCAACCCTTCGTTCAGGAATTCGGTGACCCCCCCTCGGAAAATGGGTTCTGTTTTGGGGGAAAGGGAGAAAAGGGCGTCCTTTGAGAAGGACGGTGGTGGAGTTTCGTGCCATAAGTGCGGGGAACAGTTTGTGAGGTGGGAAGCTCTTGAGTTGCATCACCTTTCTAAGCATGCTGGTGAGGTTTTTGGATGCTTTTCAGAGTTTTCCTCCTCCCTTTTTTGAGCTGAGATTTGCTTTTACTATTGCTTTAAGTAACGGGAAAGAAAAGAAAAAAGATCGTCTCTTTGGTACTGCATTATTGTGGATTTTTCTTTTCAGTAAATTACTTTCTTTGACTTGTGCAGTTGAAATTCTTGATTTTTTAGTGTTTCTTTCTTTTTGACATTTTTGGGACTTCTTGATAACATCATGTTCAAAGTGAACTCAATGGCTCCCTTGGAAGGAGCTAAATCTAATTCTGTTGATATTTTTATATATATCTTGAAATTACCCTAATTGCTATGGAAGAAAATGCAGAAGAAAAGGGAAAACCACTCAGCAAGTTTGCTTCTGCCTTCATTCTGATTAAAAAATCCCCTGTTTGTTAATTTGCTCTGTTTCCCTTTTCTCTTAACAGTAACCGAACTCTTGGAAGGCGACTCATCCCGAAAAATCGTCGAAATCATCTGCCGGTCCAGCTGGCTGAAGCCCGACAACCCATGCGTGAAAATCGACCGCGTCCTCAAAGTTCACAACACACAAAAAACCCTAATCCGCTTCGAAGAATATCGCGAATCCGTAAAATCAAAAGCCAGCAAGCTCCCGAAAAAGCACCCGCGCTGCCTAGCCGACGGCAACGAGCTACTGAGATTCTTCGGGACGACCCTATCCTGCCAGCTCTGCACAAACGGCTCGTCCACTCTCTGCACGTCCGAAAAATGCTCGGTTTGCCGGATTATCCGAAACGGGTTTTCCGGCAAAATGGAACTTAAACATGGAGTTGGGGTTTTCACAACTTCCACTAGCACAAGGGCATTTGAGTCAATTGAGTCGGCTGAGGATGGTCGGGAGGTGAGAAAGGCGTTGATTGTGTGTAGGGTTGTTGCGGGTCGGGTGCACCGTCCAATGGAGAATGTTCGGGAGATGGCGGGCCAGACGGGGTTCGACTCGTTGGCGGGAAAAGTCGGTGCATTTTCGAATATTGAGGAGCTTTACTTGCTTGACCCTAAGGCTCTCCTTCCTTGTTTTGTGGTCATTTGCAAAGCTTGAGAGNGTAAAATGCTTTTGTGTGAATGTGATGATTGTTTGATGGGTAAATTTGGTTTTTTAACTGCAGTGCATGAGTGAGGTGAGGGCCTGAGAGGGGTGATTTTGAAAATTGAAATTTTACTTTGTTGTATAAATTTGGTGGTGCTTGGAAAAAAGCATCAAGAAAGTAGGGTCAATTTGTGGCCTACTAAGGTTTGTTCCTTATTTGGATATTTGACACGGTGAAAATTTGTGGTAATTGTGTAGTTTCCATTTTTTGTACCATTTTTGAACTTACATGAAAAAACCATGGGAATGAATCAATGAATGGATGCAAATGTGATAGCATTGAGTTCTATGGCCAAGTATTTTCAGTAAATGCATTTTTCATTAAATGTACTGTGTGACTCTCAAGATGACATGAGGTAGATGTGAACACAGAAATTCCTTGTTTAAAGATAGTCTTATAAGAAATTTATTACATAGATTACTTAAATGTTGAAGCATATACATAATGTTATTAACAATTTCCACTTAATCATTTGATTNAATCATGTTTAAGAACATGAAACAAACAATATGATATTTTATAATATAGAGGAAACATTTTTTATATAAAAAAATGGCTACCTAACGGTTAAACAAATTAACAGCAACATATGAGTACCTTTGAAAAAATCATCCAAATTTAGTATGGACAAAGCACTCACATTCAACAGTTTCTGCTAGAACATAACAAGCAACTAGAGGAGATGCCAGCTAGAAAAGTTACAACTTTGTAGATAAATTCCAATCCAACTTAGAAACCAAATAGTGACTAGGTTGGTCCTATAGGCTAATTGTTAAGTTTCATGTACACAATTTCAATATAAAGAACAAAGATTCTGGAATTATACATATCATCATGTCAGGTGCCTCATGCCCACACCCCAATTTTTACTTCGGCTCACTGTTACAAATTTTGAAGTTTTTCCTTTGTAATTAATAACTCCTTTTGCTCGATGCTCTCTTTCAATTTGTCACGTGAAAGAGTATTATTTTTGGTATGAGTTCAAAAATCAATATACTGAAGATATGTTCCTATAAGCACATGAAATCTATATAAGGGAAGTTCATTTATTTACTTATATATATGTGCGAATCCTTTACTTAAATATTAGTTGAGTTAAAAGATTTTATTATGGTATTGTCTTGTAAGGTTGCAGTCAAATGGAAGGTAAACACGCACACGACATCAAAGGAGATCAAGAGAAGATCGGCTAAGTAAAGAAAGAAGATCTCATGAGAGAGAAGGGAAGTCCTATTACCTTATGGGACTATTGGATAGACTTGGAAGGAAATATTCTTGGAGAAGACTCCACACGATGGAGTTGTATATATATATCCATCTTGAAGATCGAAGTGGGGCTGCTGAAGCTATTGCTATTGTTCATCACCTTCGAGCTTCAAGTTTCGTGTTTACATTTTTGTTTTGAGTTCAGCTCTCGGAACATTCAATTACCGAGGAACTGAATCCATTTCATTTGTATCGTTCTCCTTTATTCTGATTTAAACATTTTTAGTGATTTACACTTAGGGAGTAAGTGTGAAAAATAAGTCCACGTGACGTGGCCGGAGAATTAGTTGATAGGTCAGTTCATAGGTGTGGCTAGAATAGAAGAGAGTTCTATTGTGTAAGTCCAAACTATGTTTTTGATAGCTATCAATGAAAGAGCTCTGAAGGGAAGTGTGATGTTTCCCTAAAGAGTTTTTGAATCTTTGGTTATTGCTTCCGCAAATTGTAGTTTTTATACTTGTTCGTACAACGTTGAGCGCACTCGCGATAAACTTATACGTTTCATCATGTTTTGCTAGCTTCTCCTAGTTAAGGCTAATATTTATTTTTATCTTACCTTAATTTACACTATACAAAATGTGTGCAATGGGTGGTGAAAGGACAAACTCCCAGTTAATGCATTTTAAGTATTATAGTATTTTCACTTTGACCATAGAATTGTGTGTAGATGATGAATACGTCGTGTGATATATTATGAAGGTCGTCATAAATTATTAGAGATCTAATGCTCATGTAATATCAGATTATCAGAGTCAACTCCTTAGATTTTGTCATGTATCATCGTGTAATAACTGATTTGATCATTTCAACTAACGGCCCCTAATGAGACAATCTAATTAAATTTAAGAAAACAGCCTAATGGGGACAAAGCAAAAACCACATGCCGAGACATCAAAAGTCGTCATCCGTGGGGATAAATTTATTGATTAAGGGAAATTAAATGAATATTGAGAAAACTTCCTAACTCGCCAATTCGTGGGAAGAAAATGGGGCTGTGATAAATTTTATATTTCTAAATCACAAATTAGTGAAAGCTAGACTAACTATTAATTAGGTCAGATCCGTCATGCCTTTTCAATAAAAATACAACTTATTCTATAATATATATACTTTTGTTTATTATATTGTCATAACAATGATATTTCAATTTAAAAAATTACGTATGTTTTGAAAAATACATCATTCAATGGTTGTAGGAGTTAGGACTAATTTCTAAATAAATGATACTTTTAGGACTAATTGTAGGAGTAGTTAGTAATATGAAATTACAATAATAAATGCCCTGTCACGCTAGTTTTTCCTAAATTAGCGAATCCCACAGGTTACTGAAAAACGTGCAATATCTGCAACACTTTAAATACATTGTTTTCTTGCAATAAATCCCAGTTTTCATTTCTACAAATATTCAGAAATTTGAACACATTCAAAAGTTTGAAATATTGGAATTTGGAGGGATAACACAACCTGTGACTTGGGCATTCATTGCTGATTAAGACTGTTCACAATCTTCTTCAACTTGCACAGATCTCCATACGAATGATCATCAAACATTTTTTTTTTTATTTTGTTTCTTCATGGGAAATTAAAATTTATGGCAACACTGCCAAAAAGGAAAATTTTTAATCTGAGCAAGTTATAACTAAGATTTGCTAGGACAATTGAAATCCAATTTTCCCAAAGCATACAAAAAGAACCTTCAGTAGAAACAAATAAAAGCTGGAAATGTAGGCCTTATCTCGTTGGTCAATGCACTAGCACACTGGAAAATGAAGAAGATATCTACGTTTTGCGTGCCTAATATTAAGATCAAATTGCCAAAATGGTCCTATAAGTTTTTCCTTTTTGCTAATTAGTCCGCTTAGATGGTCATAAAGTTGCAAAATTTTCATCGAATGTTGTTCCCTTTTGTTGTTATTTATCTCAATTTTGATACATTTTCAACAAATTTTGAGTCGTCGTTGTTGTTTCATTAGGCATAATGTAAATAAATTCGAGTTCTAACTCCAGATAAAATTTAAATAATATTATATTAGATTGTCTATAATTATAGATAGAAAAATGAAAAACTTTCTCAAGATCCTTAATCCACTTGAAATTTTTTAAACAGTTTAGTTGCTTGCACGAAAATTCACTCATTAAATAAATCAACAATTGTTTCCCCCTCTCCAGCGAGCCTATTTTAAAATGTTGAAATTTTTAATATTTAAATCGGATACTCTATTACTTGTACTTATTTATCATTCAATTGATGATTAAAGTAAGCCATTAGTTCGAATATTAGTAATTTGAATGAAGGTCAATTACTATAAATTAATTTATTCAATCGTACTAAGTTATTGGATAATTAACAAAATTAAGAATTAAGATATTTCATGTAATCTCATTCATTTTTTTTTCTATTTTGATTATTTCAAATAATTTCATTCATTAAGAATTATAATATTCATCATTTGAATGGAATAAATAGACTACTCAAGAATTTCACAAAGGAGTTAAGACATTCATCATTTGAAGGAAAGTATCACAATTCGCAGAAAAACATACATTAATTGGTCAAAAGGTCATTTTCTTTGTCATTCAGAAATGTGTTCGTCTCTCATATTTGCTTTGCAGTTGGGCTCTTTTTTACAGTTGGGTTCCCACTAATTTTCTCGAAAATGAATGAATTGACCTGTCCAGGGCTAAACAGTGTGGGCCTATAGAGCATATTGAATTACAAAGAACATTGGGAAAAATACATCCATGACTCCCTAGTGTAGATATATTTACATAAATACAATCCGTGTGAAACATAAACAAAATAGGATTAATTACTGAGTTTTTTTACATTTGTACGAGATTTAATTCCAATCAGCAGATTTGTTTCTCTCTCTCTCTCAATATTTTGAAAGTCATCTCCAGAAGGCGAAATCCCCGCAAAGAAAACGACAAACACATTAAAAGGAAAAATAAAGAAAAAAGATGGCAATCGTGATTACCTATAATTTAGGAATTCACGAATTCAAATTTAGAAAACGGGATTATCATATCAACGGATTCTTGTATTACCAAAAGAAAAAAAAAATACATAGCGGATGAAAAAAAACGAGGTTGTTGTTTGTGAAATAGATCATGAAGTAGCCTCGGATCCAAAGACGGTTAAAGGTATATTAATGTTTATTTAGATAATTTTGTTGTTTGGTGATGGATTACGAAATTATAGTGTTCTTTTTTTTAATAATTTCAACTTTCGTGTTGTGATGAATAACTGATGAAGGTTTAATTAATTGTGTGTGTGTGTGTGTGTTTTTTTTTTCGTGATGAATAACTGAAATAGATGGATTTTATAGAGCATTCACCGAACATGCTGCAGATACAATGCTGGAATCAGTAAAGTATACAGAAGATAAACGGGAGATAAACATGCAGTTGCAAAGGTATACTTCTGACCTCTTAGATATATAAACGTAATATATACAGTAAGTAAACAAACTCATATTGTTGTAGTCTTTGTCTTAATTATTTAAATATATTTCGTTTATACTGCAGGTATATCCAGAGGCTTCACACTATTTATGTGATCATATATCGAACAACTTGAGGACAAAATTAGATTGATGTGTTTACTTATTGTTTTATTTGTGGTTTGGGTTCATGTTTATGTTATTGATCGAAATGGGATTTTCCGTCCATCGAGCTCTTGCAGAGCGAATATATGTTTAGATATACTATATATATACATCAGATAAACATGATCTGATAGTTTCTGTAATATTAATCGTATATTTATACATAAGATAAGCAATATATAAACAACACTAGATCGAGATAAAACATAATTCACAATTCCGAATGACTACAAAATCCAAATCGAATGTAGTTATACATAAGATAAACAACAAATGTGTACTTTACATGACATTTACAAAGTTCAACCAACAACTTTTCGCACTCCAAAAAACAAGTATAGATTGTGTATAACTAACGTATAATTTCCAAAACGATAGAGGTACTATATTAACAAAACCGCACAAAGTGCGAAAAAGAAAGCAGCCAAAAGCTGAATAGTACAACCAGAGGCTAAAAACTGAGAGGCTGATCCGAAGATCGCCTAGAACCGTCTAGCAACGTTAGAATACCAAACTCGCAACTATACTACACCAACTAACACAACCAAAAACTAAAACAACTCGTAAGATCCCAACGGGATAATGCCCGAGTGCAGGATCCCAACAGGATAATAAGTGTACACTCGTGCTCACAGAGGCCAAATGGTCCAAACCAAAATCACAAGAACACAACAAAGAAACAGACTAATACAAAAGGTCCTAAAACCAAACAAAAAAATGCACTAGCCCTCCCTCTCCAGCAAATCCAACCAGACTAGCAGTCACCAAATCAACCCAGGGGGATCCAATAGCAACGATTCCAACATTGCATTTTGATAGGTTAACCTTATGCAAATGAAACATCTAAAACAATATCACAAATATTCATACACGGGACTTCACCAAAATAAAGCGATAAAAAAAATAAACGATCCAACAAAAACGTAATGCTAATAATACCAACATGGTTCAACTCTCCATACACAAAACACAAACAGTACTCCATGAAGAGGCAAGCATATTCTAACTAACTGACATGAGGTTTGCAAGCTTCACTGCATCCTCATCATTCTTCCATACCTTGACATAATATATACATATTGCTAGGTTAATTGTACATATATATATACATAAGATAAACGAAATATAAACATATTTTTGATTCTGCAATAACCCGATAATAGGAGAACAAAAAGTGTATATATATAATTATATATATATATACATATATCGTCAGTTTTTTTGGTCATGTTATAAGTATATTGCATTTGAGAAAAGTTTATAGGGTGTTCATATTATGTGTATATATACAATTTTTGTTATCATGTGACAAGCTTATTGCAAGATCAAAGATGTTTATATGATGTTTATCAAAGATGTTATCATGTGACAAGCTTATCATGTGATAGCCATATTGTCACCTACCGGCCCAAGAACCTTTTACTCGACCGGCTAAATACTCAGACCGTTCACATGTCAAACGTACTCCCGTCGACATACCTAAGTCGACTCCTCAGCAAGACAACTACGACAGAAGGGCGAAATCCATGCAAGTCGACTCCTCGAGGTCGACTTCCTACAGTCGATTCCTGAAGTTGACTCCCACGTAAGAATAATCGAGCGTAGTCTCCGAATCCTCATGCGATCACGAGTCGACCTTTCAGATCTCGAGGTCGACTTCTTGTGCCTCGAGACCGAAAACGTGATGACGATTCATCACACTTTCAACATACTTGAGGCTCTGCATTCTTCAATGGATAAGAGGGAATCTTGTGATAACTCAGCAACAAGGGGAGACGAACCGACCGTGGCATTTGGACCTTTCATGTAAGTCGACCGGGGCATTTTGGGTACTCTGAGTAAGTGTTTCCTCTTATATAAAGGAGGTGAGGTAACCCTAAACCCTAACTTCCATTGATTCCATACTCTCATCTGAAGCTGCTGTTGCTCTCTGAGAGCAGCTTCTCTTCATCTCTTTTACATACTGACTTGAGCGTCGGAAACACTTCCGGCGTTGAGTTCTTGCAGGTGTTGTTGCGGTCTAGCAACGGTTCGAAGGCGATTCAAACAGATCTGAGCTCAAAACCACCGGTTCTCTTCAAATCCAGAAGTAGACCCATCAATATATATATATATATATATATATATATATATATATACATACACATAAGATAAACAACAAATAAACGTTGATGAAAGTCAATAGACTTAAAAACATATACATATTTTAATAAATATAGCGTTTCAAAAAGTGTTAAAAGGGTTCGGAATTGGTGCTTTCTTTGTACGGGTAGGAGCATCCAATTTCTGAAATTGAAGCTTTTTTTGTACAACCTTGCGTTCGGGAGGTCGAAATTGAGATTTGTGACGAGATTGAGAGCATGTTATCCTTGCTTCGTCTTCAATGTTGGATGGGTTTGCCCTCAATTTATTTTTGCTTGGACATTGTTGCATCGTCTCGAATCTCGGATTTCAAAATTTCTATCGCCGAGATGCAAAACTTTTTGAGTATGAGAGACGAGAGAGATGAAAGCAGGTTATCTTTGTAGGATTTCTATCACCGAGTGGGTTATCCTTGCAGAAATTTTTGAGTGTGAGAGACGAGAGAGATGAGAGATGAAAGCTTTCTATGTATGAGAGATGAGAGAGATGAAATATTTTTGGTGAGAGATAAGTTCTGTGCACAAAGTCCGAGATATGGAGAGAGAATGTGATATCTTTTCTTTTTTTTTGGTTGAGTAAAACAGCGGTATTAAAATCACATTTCTTGAAATTTCGGTTTCCATTACCTTTACTTAATATCACTTTTAACCGCCTAATCAGTATTAAAATCTCGTTTTTTTGATGAATTGTTTATTTGATCGTAAATCTGAAATTATTTAGGCAATTTATTGTAAGGTGAGTAAATTTCTCAAGAACACATCCATCATGTGCTTGTACGGATGCTTCTAATTGGGCTTTTTA